TATTTTATATATGTAGAAATAAATACATAAATATTTATATACACATAAATTTATACACACAAATAAAAAAAGAGAGAATTCAACCAGACTCACAAATTATCACCTTGAAACAAAATATTTTGCTTTAAAAAGGATGTTAAAAAAAAAAATCCGTTTCAGAGCAGAACTTCTTCCTGCTATTATGAGCAGGGATTGTTACATCTAAAACTAGTTTCATAACTAGTTTTTTTTACTGTTTTTTCTCATTCCATCTAGATGGACTAACTGAAATAAGTTTTGATGAAATAATATTGGAAGAAAAAAATGCAACTCAAATTCTTTGTTTTATCAACTGCCAGGAAAAACACATTCTAAAAATGTAGTGTTTAATGCACATGCTGCTTTTAAAGTACTGACAGCTATGAAGAGAGATTTCTAAAATGTTTGATACAGTATAGTGCTCTTTTTTGTGAACTACAAATTCAAAATTATTTTACCTTTTTATACTGAGGTTGACTAAGAACAGAGGTAGGATGAAATCGCACTTTCTTCTCCTTTGGTCCAGTCAAAACCAGGCTTTCTCTGTCTACATGCACTAGATTAGGATACATCCCAGCCACTAAGGCAGCTTTAACTACAGCCCAGTTTTCAGAGTTAGTATTAACATCTCTAATATCGGCTCCTCCTCTGGCTCTAACAAAACCTGAAGAAAGAAGAGGACAAAAATGTGTTATATTTACTTGTATTTAAGACCTACGTTTTTGCTTCTCAAAAGGAATTTAAAAAAGAAGAAAGTGAAATAAACTACAAATTTGTTGCGTTTTTCACCACTGCCAGCCTTAACAGCACCAAGAAGAAACCATAATACTGAAATCCTTCCTGATAAGGTGTTTTACACTAACATAGAATAGAATTACTTTTACAACACAGAGGAAGTAATTCATTAGAACATAAAAATCCAAGGGAACATATCTCACACTGAAAGCCAGTGGCATGTGGAACCATCAGGGCTCTTTCAGTTAGATCAGCTGTTCCCCAGCCACACTTCCCCACTCCAGCATCTGCACTAAGCCCAGCATGAATGTGCAGTGGTCTATTTCAAATTAAGGAAGGAAAATTATACCAGTGAACACTATTCTTGTTACAATTTGTATACAGTTTTACTAGGTATACTCTTGATTCCAAAACTACATTAGAATTTTTTTCCAAGCTATTTACCTGAGGCTCTAAGCTGGCCAAGCAGCTGTGTTCTCATTCCTATGATGATTTCCATCGTGGCTTGAGACAGGAAGTTCTTTTCACAGAAGGCTCTCTCCCAGCCATCACTGCGCGCCTTCTGCCATGCCTGTAGAGAACATTTTTTACATTTGCCTATTAATTTGATTAGCTAAAATAAAAAAATGCACTTTTTTTTAAAAATGACATCTACATCAATAAAATGAAGGCAAAAACCATTCTGAAATTAAGGAAATGTATCAAACCAGATTTTTTTTTTCCTGGTTAAGTACTAGATTCTCTTTACCCATTCTCTAGATTAACATAATGATCATTATGTTACTATAAGATCATTATATTAAGATCATTATTTTATCAGTGTAGCAGGATATAAAGTGGTACCTTGTTGGAACACTCAGCATTTAACCAGGTTTGAAAATATAAACAGAAAATCTGACAAGAAGTGTTCCCTCACAAATTTATGAGCCTAATATACAGGAAAGCCACTATGCAAAAAAAAAAAAGTTTCTTCTCTAAGGACTTAATCATAGTCTATCATTCTACATCCAGCTTGATCGGTACATCATTTACTTTGATCTATTGTGATTGGTACTCTTTTTGAAGATGAAATAATACCTGGAAAGCCCTGAGAAGCGCCATATGGTCACTAAATGTTCCTGCAGTAAAACGTTTTCTACACAGCATGGCTGCACGCTTTTGAGAGGCCAGTGTAGGTAGGACAAAAGGGTCTCGATATGCAAGAGTGCAAGCAATAGTAAGAATAGGATCCAGGCACTTCAAAACAACAGCACACAACACCATTTTACCAAGGTGTGGCTCTACTGGTAATTCAGTGAGATGATAACCAAGTTCAGTGAGATCTTCCCAAGGGTCCATGGCATCTATTGTCTGTTTAAAAAAAAAAGGGGGGGGGGAGGGGGAAAGGAAGGTGGATAAAATTAATTTACAATAAAAGCAGAAAGAATATGAATACTGGACATTAACTAGACTTGTTCCCAAACGCTAAAAAGCAAACCAAACTCGTAACAGTTTGAGACGAGTTTTTTAAGCACTCTCTTCCCTTAACATGGAAAAAATACACACACATGCACGAAATGAAAATAGACAACACACAAAAACTCAAACCATCCTTACGTAACTAAACAACAGTCTCAGTACAAAATAAACTCAGTAACATATGTTGCCACACCACAAATATAGAATCAAATACAATTCCCATCTAAATCTATTCCTCTGCTGACCTTAAGCATTTGCACAGCATTTCTCACAATCAAAGCTGGTGGAGGATCAGGAGCTTTCATCAGGAAGTCAACAATTGGACAATTAATTGGAGCCAGAAGTTTTGTGTGTAAACAAAGTTCCTGCAAGTTAAAAAGCAGAAAAAGATCATTAAGATTGGGGGACACCCCCCCAACACTTTTTTGGAGTTCATAGTATGGTTTCATGATAATACATTTTTAAAAGTTATAATTTCTAACTGAATGTGCACCTGAAGTGGCATTCTCAGAAGTTCTGGAGTCTGAAATTCCAACATATTCTGAAATCGGAGCCTGCTGAAGAGATGAAAACAGACTCCAGGCTGACAGCGCCCAGCCCTTGAAAATAAAATATGGGAAATTGTTAAAAAATAGAATTTCTTTTTAAAAACAAAACAAAACAAAGCAAAGCAAAAAAACCAACACACACACAAACTAAGACTGGAAATGTAGAAGCAGGTCTAAGAAAAAGATAATTTTGTCGTTAAGTGTAAGTCCCACATGAGGTGAGAGTTTTCCAGTACGTGGATTAATTTTGATAGCATGGAAATGTTATAATTTTACCCCAACACTGAAAGATCTGGAGAAACAAAAATAAGGCCTATCTAAAAATAAAGTGATGTGGGTTTTTTGCTAACCTAAGATCAATCCAAATCTCAACTGTCCTTTGCTGTAAGGAATATAAGTCGTAAACTTCATTTCTTCCTCTTCACATCCCCCAAACAGTTGGAAGTTACTCTGGGAGTAAAAGGTAGAATGAAGACCAAACAACTTGTGAGTGAGGGGACAGAGACAGCAAATGCTCACATTCACGCTCAAATTCCTGCAGGTTAATGCCAATACTGTATCACCAAACATAGGCATTTGTTGCTACATATCCTCTTAGCCCTCACCCAGTGTTGGGAAGAATATGATAAAGGACTGTTAAGTCATAAACAGTTTGGAGAAGTTGGATAAGGAATCACTGCTCAATGTCTCTTCTAATATAGGGATGAAGGGGCATCAATTAAAAGCTAACAATAGGCAGCTCTTTGCCCCCAGCTAAGTTGTGAAACACCTTATTGGACACTGTGGCTGATGGTGTTACATGGGAGAAAGAGGAAGGAGAACAAGTTCATCGGGGGGAAACAACCTAGACCTGATGTAAGCTTTGGGAAATTCCTGACTGTCACTTTTCTACAACTTGGGAAATTACTCCAAGGAAATACATGCTGACCCTTACTCTTTTGCAGAGAATTAGCATTGGCGATTGTACAACACAATACTGGACTAGGCTAGTAACATTACACGGTGTAGCTGCTATATGCTTAACATACAGGACAGTGAGTATCTGCAAAATAAAATTCAGTATGAAGCATTTATTACCTGCCTTTTCTCTGGATAGCACTGGCTTTTGAAATCCACACCATTTTTAGCATTGTAACACAACTCAGTGCATCAAAAGACTTCTATAAAAGCAAAGCGAGGAACATAAAAGTAAGATTGAATAAGGTACATGAAATAAAAGTTACTAATGATTTAGATCATCAACAGAAGTTCTCTAAAATAATACTAAGTACCAGCAGCTTCTGGCATAAAGCTATGTTCTAAAGTACCTAGTTTCAAGAGAATTTATGCTACCTCCTTCGCAGTATCTTTGCGCTACACAGTTTTCTAAACTGAAGTTTTCTAGTCAATAGCTAATTGTAAGTCAATAAAAGACATGGATTGTGTTTTGTGGTATCACAAAACAAGCAAAAATATGTTATTATATTGAATAAAGGCTTCTTCTTTGTCTCACTTGGAAATTACATCCATATTTTCCTACATTTGATGTAAAATTACAAAAAAAAAAAAAGTATTACCATGAGAACTTCAGAAATTTGGTGTGCTTATCTCGTATGAAATCCGATTTTATTTTCTAAGCCGTATACTAGGTCTTAAACTGCCTCATTATGTTATCTCACTTTTCTTGAACAAGTAATTACTGAATGGGCATTCCACACATCAAAAACAATGCTTAAAAACTTAATGGCTTAGACTTGGGCTAGATACAACAGTAGGACAAAGGGAACTCCCAGTGTTCTCTAAGTCTCAGGAAGATGGCAGTCTAAACTGATGGACTTGTCTTAAAAATCAAACAAAAATACTAAATTAAAAAAAAAAGATACACATACATCAATATATTAACCTGCAATAGCTTTTACAGGGTTTTTGAACAGCTAGCTATTTACAGCATTTGTCATAAAACAAATGGATATCAAAACTTCTCAGTAAGTTTTGTAGCTTGACATGCACTAGCTCTCAGCCTACTATAAAAAAACCAGTTCTCCAAAATTTATGTATTATGTATTTTAAAAAAACACCAGAAAGTTTACTTCCCAAAGAAATTTTAAGCCAGTCATACCTCTTTCATCTTGCCTGAGTCAATAACAAATACAACATCATTGACTGTTATGCTGGTTTCTGCAATATTAGTAGAAAGAATCTGCAATTAAGAAAAAAAAACCCTATAGTGACTGTACAAGCGAAGACAAAATAGCTCAGTATAGTATCTGACAAAGTCCTCTGATACTTACTATTTTGCGGACGCCAGAAGGTGGACTTTTAAGCACCTTCTTCTGATCCAAAGTCTGCATATTTGAATGAAGCATGAAAACCTGGTATCTAATGCAAGACAAAGAGCACATTTTAAGGATCTTTAAAAGAAACAATAAAAACTCAAGACAACCATAGGAACTAGAGGTTTTACCTGTGCGCATTATCAGCAAATCTCTTGTCGTCAAAAAGAATACGGTCCCTCAGGCTAACTATCTCATCATATCCAGGAAGAAATATTAAAATTGCTCCTAAAAGAGAAGATGGTTTGCAGAGTTAAACAGAAAATTCACTTCAAATATATGTCAGTACTGAGTATACTAGCACTTGGAAGGTTTTACCTATTTGGTATTACTGAAAAAAGAGCACAATTCATCAGAAGCTGAATCCACAGCAGTTTATTGGGAGTGGGTGTGTATACCTACCAGAATCACAACTATGACAGATGTTATAGAGTAAGTGCATAATCAGGTCCAGATCCACTTTTTCATCATCAAAACTGTGATGATAAGCTTTCAACAGTTCTCTGTCCTCTGCACTAAGGTCACTACCACTTGTTTGGACCAGGGAACTTTCATCCAGATTTCCAGATTCCACTGAAGCACTAAAATATACACACAGGCCAGAGTCAAGGTTGTTTGCTTCGGGTTTGCATTCAGCCATCAATTCAAATTTAAATCAAGACCAACAAGACTACTTGTCTCGAATTTTAATTTTGAAGTGTAGCAGAACAGCATCTCCATAATACTATTACTGTTCACTGATTTAAGTGTTAACCCAGCAAAGCATACAACTTAATTTTTTAGCGTTAACTTTAATTTTATTTCATTGAAACAGTCATAAGCAAATGTGACAGAACTCAAAGTATAAAGACACCATTTGTTTATCTGTTAAAGGAAAAACATTTAAAAGAAATGTATTTTCAAAAAACTTCCCTACCATAACAGTTAAGCCGGTACTACACTAATAGAAACTACACTAAGAGAAATTTTAATAATATAGGTCTCTACAAAACTGTTACTAAACTATGACAACTGTAAGTTAATCAAAAAACAATTCTTGAATAGCTTAGTGTACATGTTACTCGTATAAAGTTTCTTTAGTAAGGCTATCATGTATCAACAATATACAGATAAAAAACACAAAATAGATTTGCTTCCAAAATAAGCATCTGAAATTAAAATGGTATATAGTATAGAATTGGCATCTATCTCCTCTGCATATTTATTTAGGTTACTATAATCACATCTGGCCTAGATATATAACCATGATAGGAATGTCCATATCAAGATTATAAATGCTAATAATATAAAAGAAGTCCGACATCCCTAGAGCTATATTTATCCTAGGAGTTGTGCAAACATAATCACTATGATACTGAATACAACCAAACAATTTTTTAAATAACTATGTTTTTGAAATATTGCTATTCTCAAATAAATCTTGCTATTTAGGCCAGATTCTAAAGCATACAAAGCTGAAAACCTTTCTGATGAAAAGAAGACAAAGCATAAATTTCCCTTTACCTTGTTACACAACTGTTTCTGCAAAGTAGTTACAGCTTACCTGTAGGACTCCAACAGGTCAACCACCTCTGTCTGTCCAAAGCGCTTAGCCCAGTCCAAAGCCATCCTGAAAGAGTTGCATAAAAACGTTTATTAACGTCTCACTTCAAAAGATACATATGAATAGCATGTTATGTGAGGAGAAAACTGACACCACACTTCTCTATCCATTTCTGCATTATTGATTAATCAGTGCTGCTGTTGTTGGATCTGCAACTTCCCATTTTAAAGTGCATAAATTGGTGCAATAGCTATATGATATTTAGATAACTGCAATTCTTTGCCAAGAAAGAATCCCAGTTTTACACAGAAGTACATGCAAACATGCAGAAGGAAATGAGGAGGCAGAATGTGCCATTCCTTCAAAAACCACACACCAATGTGCAGAGATAAGCCATGCCTTTTTGCAGTGCCCTTTACTAGCCCCTTTACATCATCCTGAGAAGTCACACCCCAGACGTTTTTCTCCAAAATGTGTGAAAACATTGGGGGTTTTGATGTCTTACAAAAGCTGCCCTCCTGACAATGCCATTCACCCTGTTTTC